CCTATTATGATTAAGTTCATTGTGGAAATTAATTATTCCAAGGCAGTGAAGGGCAAGCCATTTTTTTTCACCAAGGCCAATATATCTTTAAAAGCTAGTAGTCTGCTAAAACATACATGTATACTGTCATTTGTTGATGGCATTTAAATACAGTTTGAAAAGGCAATCACTCTCTAATTACTATTCACACCAGACCTATGTCAAGAGGTCTTACCAGATTGAAAGCTTGTACGTTTTCAGGTCAATATATCAATTCTTTTTCTCTTTTGGACTTCATTTGGTTTTTATTATTTAAAATCAATAGACCATTTTGTGATATTTTCTTAGTGAAAACTTTGGAGGATTTTGGTTGCAATGGTGATGAACTGCCTTACAAAATACAATATGCCAATATGTTTATTTTCTTGAGCGCTGTAAGAATGTACATTCCTTGGGCTTTATCAGCTCCTGAACTCAGATGCTCTCACTGCATCATGGTAAAATGACTGGTTTTGACGGTGAAAACCCTAACAACCCAGCGTTCAGAAAAGATGCCTCCAAAATAGCTTATTTTGGCTTGATTTCTTTCCTTGCACAAAAAAACAGGCAACTATAGCTTTAAGGACACGCTCCACCATGCACTTGTTCTTTGTCCCACCTCTTTCTCTCCATTGTGTGGCTGACATCCAGTTAACTTATCCTCTATCAGTTGCATCTTAGATCTATTTCTTTGCTAAGCTCCTTCTCTTACACCTACTGCTCTCTTTGTCCTGATCTCATTCAGCAACTCCTCCATGAGAGGCAGGCTGTGCCTGATGTCACAGTGTTGCAGTCCAATACTGTATCATCAGTAGTGGCTAACTCTTCTGAAGTAAGGCCTAAGGATCCCTCAAGTAGGCAGATGAAGGATAACCAGCTTCCCATACAAGATTTCCTCCTGGTCTCTAGGGCTAGGGACAGATATTCAAAAAGCCTGAGCCTGAATTGCTTCAATCTTTGCTGTTAGTCTAACCTGGCTAGGCTACGTTTGTAACCAGAAAGACATGCCAGAAATGCAGGTACATACCTGCAGTGGCTCAGGCTAGAAGGTAGGGGGGTAGGAGGGGGGCACTAGAGCAGCCCTCTCTTCCCTTCCACAATGCTGAGCTGAGGGGAGGCATGGCCAGGCCCTGGCAGGACACTCTGATTAGGGAGGGGCTCCCCCCCTTGTGAGCAGCCCAGCAGGGAATTGATAACAGTGTTTATCACCCTTAACTCAGTGTTTATCACCCCATCAGGAAACAAAGCCTCTCTCTATTAGTTTAAGCTTTTCTTAAACAGCTTTTTCAAGGAAGGAACCAGTCTTCCACAGCACAGACCATAGCCAGCATGTGGTAGGCTAGCGGAAGCCAGGCAGATGCCTGCAGTCTCCGCTGGAGCTGCAACCAGAAAGCAGAGGGAAGGGGCCAGCTCTGCTGTGAAGCAGAAAGCTCCACTCAGCCCAGAGAGCATGCCGGGATGAGGGGGGAGTCTGATTTAACTTAAACAAGCAAGGGGCCCGGGACAGACATTGCATAAACCAGTTTGACCCAAATCAGTTAAGTCTGATACTACATTCAACTAGGTTTGTCTCAAACCGGTTTCAGACATTTTCAAATTGGCTTATGTACACTGAACAGCTGGTCTGCTACAGGTTTAAACCAGTTTCTGATCACCTAAGCCAGTTTATGAATAATGTCTGCCCCTAGACTAGCAGCTAGATATTAGCCTAAGGCTGAAGCATGAGTTCTAATATCCCTTCCACAACTGATTGGCATTAACTGTTGTAACTCTGGATATTCTTGTTATCCATCTAAATATCTAGTCCCTCTCTTCCTCAGTTCTTGGCCTTGGTGGCTTCCTATGGTAATGAGATCCATTTCCTAATTATGTGCTGTGAGAGACAGCATTTTTCTCTACCATGCTTGCATTTGCCCTCTTTATATTGCACTGAATACCCACTTGTCCTTGTGCTCTAGGGCAATGACACTCGGCAGAGTCCTCAGCAATCTGTACGTCTTGTGCTCCAACTGCACACCTACTTATTTTGTACTTCTGGGCAACTGTGTATTCCCTAGCTTGCTACTGCTGACAGTTGTGAGTGGTAGGACAGTAGCTGAATTAGCCAAATTATTTCCTTTTGCTTGCATTGCAGTTTGAAGGACGGTCTTCAATACTGTGTTTGATTCATTCAGAAAGCTGCCACATATGCCTCCTTCTATGACTTAAAGAAGAGGTCCATATTCTAAGTTAAATTGTAATTGCTCCATTTAAATGATAATATCAAGATGTTTTGGGCTGGCAAGAGATTCATGCAAGGCATTTTTATACCTAGCAGCTCTTTCATGGGTCTATCCATCCTCACTCCAGATGTCAAATATAAAAAAGAAAGATTTTGGCACGAACAGCAAAGTTCCCTTGACTGAAGGATTTACCTCCTAGGAATAAGAGCCTCATAAAAGATAAGCACTGGGAGCAAAGTGAACCACGTAAGGGGTTTTGCAAAGATTAAACCCATAACTTGCCACTAGCAATGGGATATTTCATCTGTTCAATAAGCATTAAAGTTCCCATAGTTTTTATGACACTATAATCTTTGATTACTCTGATAAATATTTGGACTATAGGAGAGATTGTGATGAAACTAATAGCAGTTATAAAAAGAACAACTAGTTGTGGAGCTGGACAAGAACCAAACCCCCGACGTGACACCAGCATATTTTGGAAGACTTCAGATCCACAGCCAAACTTCTCAGCTAGATCCTGGCCCCAGTCTATTCTGCTCTGTATAGTTATTTCCACCTGTGGAAAGCCATTATGAAACTCTCCCGTATGATTCAACAGTGGTTGCCAGCCACTTTCCACAGCATAAATAATGATGTGAGATACAAAACAATGGAGTATCTGGGCCCTTGCTCTCTCAAATGAATTGAATCAATAGCCCTGAGCTCCCAGCATCACTAAAATTTAGGAAAAGGGTTGAATGCTCAATGTCAGGCCTCTCTGTTTGTTGAAGCATATTTGTCAAATTCATGTTCTCACTCAGAACGACTGTGTATAAAATAACCCACATCTGGCAAAGGGAGATCTTGCCATGTGCATGTTCTGTACAGCTGGTGTTTCCCTGGCTTTTCATCAGTTGCTCAGACAACAGAGTGAATCGCTCCACTTACACAAAATAAACTGCACCTGCAAATCATGCAAGCATACATCATTTGTGCCTCTTGTTTTACAAAATGAAAGAGCAGAACAAGCCTACCATCTTACTATTTTCTTACAGGCATATCTTTTTTTTTTTTGGTAGAGCTAATATCCATGTTTATGACTCTTTTTGCTATAGGCTTACATGCGCTGTGGTACAGCCAGGCATTTTTCCAGGAAGAACACCTGCAACACTATACCTCAGACAAGTAAAAGTCTCAACTGCTATATCAAGTAGACCACAGCTAAGCAGTGTGCTACTCCACTAGGTGTCTTGGTCCAATGCTATGGCCCTCCTCTTGAAGCTGGCCTACTAGACCCAGCCAAGAGAGGAAACTGTGTAGGGCTAAGAGGACAAGCATAAGTTAGAGGGGATAGTTTAGTGAGATTGATACCACCCTAGAATAGAGGTGGCTCTGGGTTCTAGCCTGGCATCACCTTCCCAAACTTCCTTAGTGGTTTTTATCCATTTTAGGCAATGGATATTACATACAAGATGCGCCAAGTAAGCCTCAAGAGGTGGGGTGGAGAGGAGGTTCAAACCCTTCCTTGGTGAGGCAAGGAGGAACCTAGAACTTAGGCAAACTGGTAGGCTAGCTCTCCTCCCTCACTTCTGGAAAAACTGGGCTTGTCTACACATGACCCTTTTAAGTGGAATTAGCCTAAAATCACCATTTTTAAGGTACATTAAAGGTGCACGTTCACACGTGCATGCCCTGCCTTAAAAATAGTGATTTTAGGCTAATTGCACCTAAATATGATACCTGCTTAAGTACCAAATCTAAGATGGGATAGCTAAGCCCATGTATAAATGCTTAATGAGCATTAATGTGGTGTGCATGAATGGACGTGCACTGCATTAATGCTCGTTAGCATGGCCACACATGCGCTAATGCGATTTAGCTAAGCCAGCCTAAATCTAATGCACCTTAGTGCGCATTAGCATGTGTAATGCCCAAAATTGCAGATATGCAGCTGTATGTGTACATGCCAGTTAGATTCATAAAGTAAATGGGATTTAGCCCTAAGAGTATAAAGCAGTTTCCCCAGGGCAGTCTATTATGAGGATTTGGGAATCCCATGCCCTGAGTCATTTTGTTTGTTAAATATAATGTTTTATTCTTTTGTCTCCCACTTTAAATTGTGTGTTTGTCAAGGCTGTTTGAGAAAGGTCTACTCAGGAGCATCAAAAAGAGACAATCCCTTGAAATTTACCCTAACACATCAGCTCTCCCCTTCTTTTTTTGACTTGCAATTCTCCAGACTATCAATCTTAGATGTCTATAGGCTCAGATCCTTGAATAAGTTGCCTGTGTTCCAGTTGCTTGCACACTTTGTACAGAGGAATAGATTGAAGCAGACAGTACTCATTTTCATGGTGACCCAGAACAGCTACAGTTACAAGAACACCTTTAATCTCCCGTTTCTGAATTGAAGTTAGGGAAGAGATGAAAGAAAATGTCTCACACTTCAGTTAAAAATGCGGCTACTTCTCAGCTTATTATATCCCAGTTTTCTTTTTTTTGGATTTTACTTAAAAACTATTGCCTCAATTTCCAATCAACTGCTAATTTGAAAATGAGGCATTTCCTTGCCTTTCTTTCCTTAATAATAAAAGAAATCTCCCCTCCTCATTCATAGAGGTACTTCCTCAACAAATGTGGTTGTCATACTTTGGGCTTGTAGTTGGCTTTATGAATTAACTTCTCCCTTGGGTAAGTTTTCTTATAAGAATGCATAACAGAATCAACTCCAAGAACCAGCAGCTAAATATGACTTCAGTGTAATTTAGAAAAACTTACAAAATAAACTGAAGATTGAAAAGAGGATTAGGGTCATGCTGATATGAAGGGCATCGGCTGCACTGCAGTCCATTTTGGATTTCTTGCAGGAACACACTTGTACTTTCAGTTCTGTATTATTAGTCAGAGGTGGCTTTCCAGAATCTGTCACCAGGATGGGGATGTTGTAATTGGCCTTTTTCAGGTTTTGAAGCAGGCTGACCTGGGCATGAGTGTCTGCAAAGAATGAGGACACAAGAATTAGAGAGCCCCAACTGAGGGTGGGATGGAAGGGGAAATAAGAAGAACCAATGAACAAGCCACACAACACATACCACACTTACCCATGGAAACTAAAGGGGAAAAGGAGTATTATACATAGCATAGAGAATTTGGTAACAAATTCAGTCACAGGAATTAATCAAACAGAGTTGAGGGATACCTTCCGTGACACCAGGAAAGCAAGGGCTTTCAAAAGCTTCAGGACTTTTACACAAGTAAGATTTCTCTAGTCAAAGCATGTCAGCAGGCAAATTCCAGTGGAAATAAGTGTACCAATTAGCATCTAGATTACATCACTCACACAGTGGGCATGTCCACAAGAAATGGTTTGAGCACAGTAAGCTAATTCTATTGCACATTAGCACGGCAGGCAAAACCCATGCTGATGTACTAATATGCACTAGAATTAGTCTACCATGCATTAGTGTCACAAAAGATGCATGCATTAGTCACCAGAAAAGCATGCACCAGAGCTAATGCACAGTAGTGCCGATTACGGCACATTAAGGTAATACCTGTAGTTACAGGGCTTTTTTAGACATGCAAGCACCACAGCACTGGGTCCTTTGAAAAGCACCCGGCACTGCAATGCATGCAGCTATATAAGATGCAAGATTCACATTAGCACGAAGAAAATGGGGGCGGTGTGTTTTTGAACTAAAAGACCTCGGAAGTGCTTTAGGTTGAAAGTGCACTGCTGCCATTTTCTGCACGTTGGTGCCCATTTCGCCGCTTATACAACTGCATGGCGCAGTGCACATCAGCTCATGTGTGGAGCAGACTCGATTCATCGAGTCTGGATTTCTTGCAGGACTCAATTAATTGAGTCTGCTCCAAAGCAGTGGATCTCTGGCAGGCTTGGGACAGAAAGGCATGTGTATAAATACCCAAACGTACTAAACTTAATGTGCTGTAATTACAGCACGTTACTGAATGTGTAGAGGTGCCCAGTGAGGAGGGAGGTAATAAGATGCCTTCTACTCAAAGTTATGCTCTGGAAGTCGGGAGTGGACATGGGACCTGTCATCAGGTGCTTCCCTAACCTGAGTTGTTATAAAGGGTAAGGGAAAGCAGGGGGTAAACCAATCACTGCCTCTTTTACAATGGTCAGCAGAGTTGGCTGTTTGTTAGCAATCAGGTAAGTATAATGAATGTGAATACAGGACAGAGAGCATTGACATTGTTTTTGTGGACTGGGTCCATCTTCCATGTCTCCTTAATAGGCTGAGGGTTCGGTCCTCAAGACATACTCTACCTGAAAGCTCATAGAAGTTCGTGTGCTAGGAGCTATTTGCACATATTTCATAGCCTGCTCTGAAAGTGGACACACCAAAAAAAATAAATTTAAGTCTTAAGCCATGTTAAAAGCTCGGGTTAGATAACATTTTCAAGTTTATCACACACAGTAAAACAGCTGCAGGAATTGCAACAGCGGGAACCAGGCCAGAAAACACCAGTGAACACTCTTGCAATATGCTGTGAATAAGAAACAGGAGTCAGACCATTTATTCCATTATCTGGAACAGTCTAAATATACTAAAGTGAATTTATAACTGTGCAGCTGTTTTAATTCAGATTTTGATCCTGCTACATTAGAGAAGTCCAGGGCAAGATGCTCACATCAGCAGCAGCAGTATCAAATCCACAGGCGCCTGTCAGAAATTAAGATGCCAGTAAAAATAGTCCTAGGTTTGACTGGACCTGATTTTCTTTTTTAACAGCAGGCTGTAGACTTCTTACCTTCCTTGGCTTTATGAATTCCTAACTTAATTGCTTCTGAAGAAGCTACAGTGCTGGCTAATGTTTTAGAGAGGAAAGCTGATTGGAGTGATTAATTAAGAATATGTAGGCTCATCTTGGAGAAATGTTTGCAACAGACTCTCAAAAACACATAAATCTCAACCAGATTAGATTCTCATTGAGAAAAACAAATTTCTGCCACGTTCAGCTGGTCCACCAACCCTCTCAGTGAACCTGGGGCAATTTAAAGCTTTGAAAAATAATCTAGCAAAACTGTTAAACTGGGTGAAGAGCTTGCTCATTTGCCTCAGCTTTTGCTTTCAATTTGCAGGGTTGAAAACTAAACTCAGAAGTCATATATGGAACCGTGGAAATCAATGGCTATCAATTAAAACCAGCAAGGTGCTCGCATATACACTTAGCACATTAGTTTGCTACATGAGCTCAGGTAGTTTGTGGCCTCCTCATTTTTTTGTGGTATCAACTACCATATTGCAGAAAAGACACTATTGCCTTGTCCCTGGTAAGGGTGTACAGCATAAGGCAGTCAAGATGAGTTCAAGTCTCAAGAATCTAATATTTGGAATAATATTTGGGGCTTGGAGGTTTATACTGATGGGGAAAGATTTTTCAGTGAACTGCTAGAAGAGTTCATACCAGGGAAAGGGATGGAGAATGCTGATGGAGCTAAATAGTTTGCTCAGCAAAACAAAAAGCAATAGAAATCATCTAAATTAAAAACAATAACCCCCAGAAGCACAAATCTTCATGCTTGCTTTCTGCCCTAGAAATGTTCTGCAATTCTTTGGCACATGCTTGGATTTCTCCTCCTGCAATATCATCCCTGATCTGCATGATACTGTCTGACATGTAATTAGTTCCAGAGACTCCAGTGGGGACCACTCTAATGCATGAAGTTAGGCACACTCTACAGTCCCTTGCTGAATTAAGGCCAATTAAATCATAGGATAAGACGGCTATATTGTAAAATTGCCCTGCATGTCTTACATATGCAAGTGGTCCTACAAAATTACAGGGCCCCATTACTGCTTAAAGAAATACTCATGGAGGCAGATGTAGTGACGTCTTTCGGAAGAAAAAGAATTCTGATTTCAGCGAGGGAGCCAGAGTCTCTTGCCGTGTCATCAATGTCCTATCAAGCCATCATTTCTAAAAGGCACTTCATTGAAAACTGCTCACCCACCAGCCCCGACAGCTGTAAAGATCAGAGAGGAGCTAGTCAGGTGAGACCTGCATCTGCAAAACTCTTGCTGAATTGTGCTTGTTGAGGGTTTAAAACAAAGCAAACTCAGAACCTCTCCCAAAATAGTAACGGAACAAGGAGACACAAAACCCCAAAACTGGATAAAAATGCAAGACTTACTGTTAATCTTGGTGATTTTCCACACTTTATCTGGGACAGCCTGTTTGCTCAGTTCAAATTTGAATGGATCTGTATTAGGGTGAAGGTCATCATCTTTTGCTTCCAAAACCACTACCCTGAGATCCTTTGCATCATCACAGACTTTTGCCAGAGTTGGCTTAATGTACGGGGCATTGTCATTGACATCTTCCAGGGTAACCTGCAGAGTCCCTGTACCAGTCGCAGGAGGGTTGCCTGTGTAAAAAAAACAAGCGTATGCTTATGAACCCAAGCTTTCAGGGGACATACTGCCATTGATACATACCTGGGTGCTCGCAAAAGGACAGCAATGCTATTGACATAATAAGCCCAAGAGTTACTTTTACAAGATAATGCTGTATTTTCAGAATCTGGTGTGCATGGACCATGGGGAGGAGCGTTAATCTAAGCAAACCTCCTTTAAGGTGGCCGCTGGGCCACGAGAAAAGCTTTGCACAGTATTGCTAATCCCTGCGTAGTAAGTGTCACCATCTATGCAGGGGGCTGGTGCAGGGCTGGAGGGAGCAGGAGCAGACTACTGCCAGGAGCAGCAAATTTTCTCCTGAATCTCAGCACATGTAGACACCTGCCCAGGATGGGTTTACTCTAGAGCAGGGGTGGGCAAAAATGTGGCCCCAGGGCCAGATGCAACCCACCAGGCCATTCTATCCGGCTTGCGGGGCCCCTAAAAAATTTAGAAAATTAGTATTTATCTGCCCTGGGCTGCCTGTCATGCAGCCCTCGGTGGCTTGCCAAAACTCAGTAAGCGGCCCTCTGTCCAAAATAATTGCCCGCCCCTGCTCTAGATTAATTTCCTCTAGAGCAAATCCACCCCACAGCATTTGCACATGTAGATATGCCTGCTGTGTAATAGCTTCTCAGCCTTTTGGCTAAGATCAAGTGTGCCATCCCCCCGGAGTTAGTTGGCTAACATTGTAACCGAGTTGCGTTCCCCTCCTCACCCCCATCCCTCTTATGTTAGTCCCTCACTCAGGAGCTCTGTATTTCCCTACTGACTTTGTCATCTTTTTGGTTCTTGACTCTTAACATCCACTAATAAAACTCAATCTATTCTATGGAGTCAAAATCAGATGAAGGTATAAGTGAGATCCAAGCCTAAAGGAAAAATTCCTGTACATAGACATACAGTGAGAGGCCATCCATGCCCCCGGGGAGCTTTTCTTGGAACTAGATCCTAGTTCTTTTAAATCCATGCCAGGGCCTTGAATTGTGGACCATTTTTAGTTAACTTAGCAGACATGCAGTTGTCAGCTGAATGATCTCCTTTATTTACCCAGAGTAGTACAGAACGAGCAGCGGCCATTCAAGCTTCTACAAATTATCTGCCAGCGGATCTCAGTCCCGACTGGACAAAGCTGCTTCAGGCACGAGACAGCTGTTTATTCACCATGCCCCCCAAACCAGCCTTAGCTTCCATTCAGCGACCGACACAGCGGCTGTGGTGCTGGAAGCATTCGTAATGCAGATGTCCACCCACTGGGAACAGGACGAAGACCACCATCTCATTTCGCAGAGGTCAGGAAAGAGCTGACAAGTGGTAATAACTTCCAGTCACTACTGATGCACGCCATGGTTGAACCAGTGACCTGCTATACCAGTTAAAAGCTCAATATCTCATTTCCAGTCCCTTTGAAATCTGGCTCCCCTTGACAGCTGGTCTCAAGTTTTTAAAAACACCTTTCCTCTTTCAGATGCTGTGATACCTAATAAGACTGTCCCCAACCGAAATCAAACATTTCTTTGGATCCAGGTTTTCTTGCCTACCTCCGACACCTAGCATTTTCTCCGTCGAAAAAATCTGTGATTTCTGGGTTCTGTTAAACTTCAGACCCCCTCAGGATGCAGAGAGGAAACAGGAGGCTATGTTTAACCTTTGAACTTCTAGTGTGATGTTTCACGGTATTTTAAAATTCAGCAGGAAAAGTGGTACTATTTAGTATAATTAATCTGCATATAATGGCAGGATCAACTTCAAAATCACCAATTGATTGTGGCAGTACATTTGAAGGAAGAAAGTAAACACCCCGTAGTCTGGCTCGACAGACTACTCACTGTAACATAATGTGATTAGTTGTTATAATGACAAATGTTACTAATAGTGACACTTCATTTGTTTCAGAAACACAAATGCATAACAAAGGCAGAATTTTCAGTCCCATCGGTTTTTTTCCCTTCTCTTTGTCATCACAAGGGTGAGGGTTGAGTTCTTTTTAATGAAAAATAAATTATTTTTCACTTTTTATTGAACTAATTGAATTTGCAGAAAGACTCCAATACATTTTTTGTTCTTGATATGTTATTAAGTAAAGTCGTACGGCAGAATGGATGAAAAGACATTTGAGTATTTGAAATATGATCATAAAAGTCAGCCTTTCATGCACTTAATTAAACGGCTGTCTTTAATTTTGAATGCATTATTTCCACACTGGACTGATAATGTCTTGTGCACTGCCCTCCTTATCTGCCTCTGAAGTCAGTAATATAGAAATCTGCTTTTTGAAATTAAGAACCCAATGGTATTATAAATATACTTTTCTTTGGTCAAATGCAGATGTGGCCATATACTTCTCTGCCTTGCTTATGCATTGCTATTTGTATACAGCTTATGGACCAGGCAACTAATATGTACAAATAGAGAGGAAGAAAATTGCTTTTGTCCACTTCAATGACTTACTCTCAGAGCATTTTACTTATAATGACTTAAACAAAATGTTTTCCTGATTTATAAAGACTTTCAAAAGAAAAATAAGCAAATGTCAAAGCCATAAATTGAAGCTTGTTAACAAGCCTGCCATAAAAATGCAACAAAAAGTGAGTCAAAGAAAAATGGTCACAACATATCCACTGGGAATATACGGCTTTTATATATTTGACACTATTATGCCTTTGATATAAAAACCATTCAAAACCCCATGATCTCCAGTCGGTGACAGTTTTGAAATGAACGCCTCTCACTAGCATATTTTAATTCTAAAATAAGATTCCTTTCAATAGATATTGTAAAACTTTGCCGTTAGAAGTTGAATTAATGCATAAACCAGGATTTAAAGGTCTCAGTCCTACCAAACTCTTGGGAACAGCTTGGCAAAAGAGCTCAGGTCCTGTTTAATCACTGAAATGACTGCTGGGGCTGAACACTTTGAACATTTAGGTGCCTGCATAGGGCCTGATGGAGAGTGAAACCATCTGAAATTCCTGCTGGTCGGCATACAAGATACAAAATTCAATTTAATGGCACTACTCATGTGAGTAAGGGCTATTAGTGTAAGGATCCTCAGGGTTCACCCCCAAGTTAGTTTAATTCCACATGAAAGATGAGAGAGCATGCATCAGCTATAGGTATTACTGAGTTGGAGCCATAGCCTTGCAACTGTTCCAACTGATTCTTAGTAGTAGTGGGCATACTCATGTGAGTAAAGATTATCCAAATTAAGCTAGGTTCATGAGTTTGGACCCTCTGTCAGTAATTCCAGAGAATACCAAATCATACCACAATGGGAAGCTTATGCTTTATACCTTTGCAATGCATGATGTCTGGTAGTATCTTTATGTCCCAGCACTGAAGTACATAAAAAGCTTCTGCAATCACTTGTCACTTAAGCAATACCTAGCATAGTTGCAAGACGCAACCATCAGAAAATGGAAAAGGATTGGTGGGTATGCATCATGGCTTGAAGGTGCAGACTACATATTGCACGACATGGTCCATTGTCTGGGAGCTAGAGCCTAGAATGAAAGGGGCTATTACGATAAGAAAACAGCATAACATTTTATTCTAGTTCTATCAAGTGCAAATGAATGTGGTTACAGAAAAATAAGTAGTTTGAAAATGAATGTTCTGAAAATAGACCCGTTGGATGTTGCTGTATATTGATATTTTAATTTAATGTCATGTGGGATCATATGGTGCTTCTTAAGAAACTGCGATTCTTATGAAAGTGTAACTCAGCTGCAGAAATGTTTTCTATTCCATTTAAGTACGTGGCAATGGATTTGAAAACAGACTTCCAGCTAGACAGTTAAAGGTAGCTGGAGTTCTGACAGCTGCATGAGAACCACCAGTTAGTTATCGGGAGGCCTCAAATACATCAGTTATGCCTGACATAAACATGATGGGCATGGACTGGGAAAACATTTTGCAAAATATCAAGCCTTGAACAAAACAGCATGTTCACCAGCTAATCATGACTGAGTTCCTGATCAATACATTAATAAGAGCATAGCATCCCCTTTTCCTTTCTTGAAAATAGCTTTCTGTCAAGTTGGTCTATGATTAGCTGATACAGCAGCTCAGCTCACAAAACCAATCTGCAACACAGAGTAAATAATGACATCATCAGCAAATGCCACTCTGCTGTGCGAACATCCATCAGAAATAATAAATCTACATAAATCATTTGCTCTAATTGAAATGAAGTTATTGCAATGCAACATTGTCACATGATCGTCGTCTCCTGCTTGGAAGACAAATGCTTTGGATTTGCTTCGGTGTTTACGAAGCAGCAGGGGATCATTATTCTGAGATGAGATTCTGCTTTTTTGATGGCATATTTTAAAGAGATAGCAACAGGATAGAAATCTAATAATACAATAAAATACCTATGTTACATCAGTAATCTGAAAAGAAATGCAGTTTCTGAAATCAAAACAGTTCACTCCACTAAACAGAACCACAATGTCACTTTGTTGCGCTTCCTTGTGCTTTGCTGCCTTGCGGAAATTGTAGTCGAGGGGGCTTCCATTATCCCATTCCCTCCTAGAGGCTGGGTCCCCTGGTGGACAACATCTTCTTGACATCCTTATTAACTTAGACAAGGAACCTGGCCCACAAGAACATATAAACTACAATCCCATGAAGCAACAGGCCACCATGGGAGAATGCACCTCATACTGCACTGACTCGAAATGAAAAGTTCTACTATTTCCCTGTTGAATTTTTCCAGAACTTTTAATTGCGAGAAAGAGCCTGGTACACTATTTCAACTCTTTGCCCCAATGTGGGGTCAAAACAAGGGCTGGAATACTAGACTTTCCTACGAGAGGGATTTTCCAATTAGCACCCTGCTCTAAGGAGAAGTCAAAACCAGGCTGTGTTTGCTCAAAAGTCCAAAAAGTCAAAATGGTGAGGTGGAGGAGAAGACTCCAGATACCTGGCAGGCCTAGATCCCATGTTCCCTACAGGCTGGACAAGCAGC